GCTGCTATAAACATTGATGTGGCTGTGTCACTGTAGTATGATGATTTTAAGTCCTTTGGGTATAAAGCGAGGAGTGGGGGTTCCACGCCAAGTTTCTAAGGAATCTCCAGACTGCTTTCCACAGTGATTGTACCAATTTGCTGTCCCACCAGCAAAGAATGAGTGTCCCTTTTCCCCCCACATCCTCGCCAACACTTATTGTTGTTTGTATTCATAATAGCTGCCATTCTGACTGGAGTGAGATGAAATCTTAGAGCAGTTTTTTTGATTTGCATTTCTCTAATTACCTAGAGATGGTGAACACTTTTCCATATGTTTGTAGATTGACTGGATTTCTTCTTCTGTGAAGTGTCTGTTCAGTTCATTAGCCCATTTATTGATTGGGTTATTTGTGGGTTGTTTTTTTTTTTTTTTCTGTGTGTGTGTGTATGTGTGTGTGTGTTTTGAGTTCTTTGTATATCCTGGAGATCAGTGCTGTATCTGATGTGAGTGTGATGAAGATTTTCTCCCACTCTGTAGGCTCTCTCTTCATGTTATTGATGGTTTCCTTTATTCAGGTTCTTTTAAAATGCCCTTTTATTAACATTCACAAAGTCACAAGGTCTCTGGGATACCCGTAATCGAAGGCAACTCTATTTTTCTCTGATTTCACTTCCCTCTTTGGAATCAATCTTTCTTTCTCTCTCTCTCTCTCTCTCTCTCTCTCTCTCTCTCTCTCTCTCTCTTGTACTGGGGGTTGAACCTAGGATGCTCTACTCTGTGTTAGTCAGCTTTTTCACTGCTACGACTAAAAGACCCGACCTGCACAACTGTAGAGGAATAAAGTGTATTTAGCGGCTCACCGTTTCACAGGTCTCAGTTCATATTCAGCTGGCTCCATTCCATGGGGCCCAAGGTGAGGCAGAACATCATGGTGGGTGAGCGTGGCAGAGGGAAGTGGCCCACGGGATGACCAGGATGCAGCGAGAGACACCACTTATCAGATACAAAATATATACCCCTAAGCCACGCCCCAATGCCCACCTCCTCCAGCCACACCCCACCCACCTTCAGTTACCTCTCAGTTAACCCCCAGGGATTAATTCACTGATTGTATTAATGCTCTCATAACCCAATCATTTCTCCTCTATAGAAACCCTCTTGCATTGTCTCACACATGAGCTTTTGGGGGACACCTCCCATCCAAACCATAACAACCCCTGAGCTGCATCCCCAGCCCTTTCTATTTTTTAAATTTTTTGACAGGGTCTTGCTCAGATACTGAGGCTGTCCTTGAACTTTGATCCTCCTGCCTCAGTTTCCTGAGTCCCTGGGGTTATAGACCAGCTCCACGGGGCCTGGCTTTTGTGGACTCTTTTGATGACTTGACCTGGTTTAGGAACATCTGTATGGGAAGAGCAAGAGATAGGAGACCAGCCACTTCCCAGTGGGTGACCACGAACAGGTGTCCCCCAGTGATAGGGTTATTAGCTACATGCAGCAGGAATTGATTGTGTTGATTTAAGCAGAACCGGAGACCAGAGACCAGAGAAAAGCTTCAGAGCTCAGAGCCAGGTGTTGATGCCTAAACTCACTCTAAGGCACCGTCAGTACCCGCACCATTGCTGCTCTTGCTGGGCCCAGCCCACAGAGCCACCCCATGGACACGGGGCCTGGACCCTTGATAATGCTGCAGTACGGCCACTGGAACTCCTGAAATAGTGCCACAAACCTGCCACCAGGGCAGATTCTGCACAGTTCCTGTCCCTTTGTGTGACCAGCTTTTAGATTCAACACTAGGACAGGAGTCCGGTTGGCAGAGCCTGTGTTACAGACCTCCTCTCTAGCTGGGAAAATGAGTATCCAACCTCCTCAGCTTTTTTTTTTTTTTTAGCAGAAGGTGACCTTGATGCCTAGAGGATTCCCCAAACAGGACAGTGGTCACCAAAGGCATGATAAGTGCCCACTGCATCACCCAAGGACAAGTTACCGCCCTAAGCCTGTTTCCTCATCCATAAATGGGGCTAATGGCGGATCCTACGGGTGGGACTGATAAAGGGGCAAAGGAACTGTTGGGTGTGAAAGGCCTTCCCTGTGTTTGGCACACAGCGGGACGTTATTTTATGGTAAATATCATTATTGGTGATTTGATTTTTTTTTCCTAATGTCCTATAGTCCCTGAGGTCCCCAAACCTTGGCATCTCGATGCCTCTGGTTTCTATCTGCAGGCTGTGAAATGGGGTTCCACTTGTCATATCTGAGCACATCGACACGTTTTGTGACTCACAGAAAGGTCTGTTGAAGGGGCCTGCCTTTCCCCTCAGTGGTCAGAAGTCTGTGAAAGAGTCCAGAAGTTCCCCAAAAACCCGATTTACATTGTCAGGGAAAGGCGGTTTTTGGAAGAGACACTTGTTAGCTCTAAATATCATTGGAATTAACTCAACACATGTTGGATTTAAACTTTTTATTTATTTTTAATTTTTTTCTTTCAGCATTTAATACCTTTTCTTGACTCAGTGGCCAAATAAGGGAACATCTACTCAGTCAAGCAAGGCACCTCGTCAGAAAGGAAATCCAGAACGGTGATGCAGGGTCCCGGGTGACAGGACCGGCTCCTAGCACCTGCAGAGCAGGGACCCTGCCTTTATGTACATGGTGGTACCTCAGCCTGTCCTCAGGAGCCCTTAAAGGATGCTTCCTGAGTCATCTGCATGAGTTAAAAACAAGACCCTCAAATCCTTTTATTTGCTTCCTCTTCACCACCCTGTCCCCCTTCTCTCCTCCATGTCCAAACCTCCATTTAGCGAAACACAGCGGGGTGCAGCTCAGGGGGAGCACTTGCCTAGCCTGTGCAGGCGCTGGTTCCATCCCCAGGTGGCAATAACAGCAAAACCAGACCTGGAGGAGCCTGGCCCCAGGGAGACCCCACTGTGGAGAAGAGTAGGGTTTAGGCCTCAAACATTCCAAACCTTTTTTTTTTTTTTTTTAAGCAGAAAATGTTGAAGGGAGCATACCTGTTTGGGACTTGAGCCCTCCAAGAAATGGCTTTGCCCTGGCTGGGTGTCCTTCCCCCCTGACCCTAGGGTCTCAGCAGTGAATGAAGCAGGAGGCCTGAGAGCTGGACGGCCTCAGACAGGCTGTTGCCAAAACGGCTTTGCCCCTGCCTTCAGCTTGGAAGCTAGGCCCTGGGCTCCATGTAACCACAGACAAGCCTGTCCCCGTTCAGCTCACAGAGGGATCTGTGCTTCTTTGGGTCGGGATGGCAGGTCAGAGTGCTATCACAGAGAGGGACCTGGTTTTGAGTCCCATCTTTGCAACTCCGGCTGTGTGACTTTGGACAAATACTGATTATTTTTGAGTTGGAAATGTTCACGTGCAAATGGACAAAATAATACCTTCCAGGGCTTTTGGGAAAACTAAACCATATGGGCTGATTCATGTGAAAGCACATTACAGAGTACTTGGTACTGACAGATGTTGTGACATAGAAGGAAGAAAAGATGGTGGATAGTCTCCAGAGCTATTCAAAGGAATATTTTTATAGGGAGATAAATGACCTGTGTGACCTGGGCCAGTCCTCTTACCCCATTGCCAGTCAATTTCAAAAGATAATTCTAACCCCAAGAGGGAGAGGGTAAATGTCACACTATGTCACTTTGTATGACACAATATTTATTACCTTGTTTCCAAGATGTCATCAATTATAAGATGTATAATTGAATCAAAAGGACAGAAAGAATAAAAAAAGAAATGGGGGACCCACCCACTGTAAGACATGTTCTGATTTCAGGATCATTAAAACATAACCAAACCTATGTTCGTACATCATTACCCAACACCATCAGTAATTATGCTGGTTCCCATTTGCTAATTGTCTACTGGGGGCCAGGCGCTGTACTCAGGCTGCTTTACTGGGTCTTTGACTCCCACGAGGCAGTTATTTCCATTTCCACCCCGCTGAACAGAGAAAGGTGGTCACTTTTCCAAGGTCACCCACCCTAAAGTAGGACTTGGAAGGCTATCTTCTCAATCCCAAAATGTTGTCCCTAATATGCAGATTGTTCTCCCAGCTCAGGGTGAGAGATGAGCTTTCTACAAAGAAATGGTGTGTGAATGTGGAGCTCTGGATATGTCTCAGTTCTCTGCAAGGTGACCAAGAAGGACGGAAGTAACAGAGTTGGAATCTAATCCATCTCCAAATAAGGGTCGCTGGAGGGAAGGGGTTAACAGGACTGTCAGGGCTGTTTAGAATCCAGAGAAATGAGACAGTGTCGGGCCAGTCCCCCTGGAGCCCGAGGAAGAACCCTGACCAGCCACCAGGCTCATCCCAAGCCCAGGGACAATGGGACAACATTCACCTCTAATATTCCTCGAGGTCACCCTACTCCTTCTGCTGACGCTTTAATAACAAAGCAGAAACTTTTGAGAAGAATTCTGTTTTCTTTTTAACTTTAAAGGGGGAAAATAAGCTGACCAATCATCATGAGCTAGCAGGCTAGCGGTCACCCAGTCCTGGAACAGGTTATAAATTAACAAGTTGGTTTTCTGGTTAGTTAGTCCAGGTTAGTTCCCCTGTGCCTGATGAGGGGATTCAGTGTTTCGCTCTGCAAAGCTGTGCCCAGGGCACTTCATCTGAGAAGACTCCGGGACACTCTCAGAAGCACTCCTTGACCCATAACTCCTGACCAGAAGAGTCAGGACTACATGTCTGCCTGTCTGTCTGTCTGTCTGTTTAGCTAACGTGTTTGTGGGCAGAACGCCAAACCCACATCCATGGGTTCTCAGTGTAGCGCCACCTCATCAGATGACACAAAAACGTTGCACAGCTTTTGGGAGAGCGGCAGTGGGGACATGGGGGCGGGTGGGCTGGGTCAGGCCAGAATGAGGTTAAGGACCCCCTGAAGCCACAGGGATGCGTGGAAGATGCCTCTGTCCACCCGACCGGAGGGACCCGTGGCAAAGCCGCCGGAGAAGTGTGCTGCTGGGTCTCCACTCTGCAGAGAGCTCCCTGGGCAGGGGCAGAGACAGCACAGGACAGGGGTCACCGGGTCTCCACGTGGACATCAGCCGGGCCGAAGGTCACCGCTGTAGGCTGCTGGCTGCTGTTGCTGTTTGGGTCCAGGGCAGAAGGGGCAGCCGGCTTGGGGCCCTTGGGCTCCAGCTCCCGCCTGATCCTCATTTTCCTGTAAAGACAGGGGCACGTGTGGCAGGGTCTTCTCCCTCCTGTGGCGGGGAATGGGCTGTGACTAGGGTGCTGGTGAAAAGGTTAGTGCAGATCATCACGAAGTCACGCGGCTTAATTGCTGACCACAGAATTTCACAACTGGAAAGGACCTCAGACATCAGCTAGTCTGAACCTTCAATTTTTTTGTTCAACTTACTTATTTAGTTTTATTGGCTTATGTTAATGAATGAGTAAGGTGTCAGACGAGTGGCTATATTCACAACAAAATGAAGATGTTACCTGTCTTTTGTTCAGAGGTGTAGTGTGAATTAAACTCTGCAGCCTCATAGGCTTGCTAAGTTTATTGCTAGAAATATGTAAATGCTTATTTTTTTTTTTTTGTATTAGAATTGAACCTGGAGTGCTTTACCACTGAGCTAAGTCTCTAGCCCTTTTTTTAATTTTTAATTTTGAGATGGGGTCTTACTAAGTTGCTGAGGCTAGCCTCCAATTTGCAATCCTCCTGCCTCAGCCTCCCGAGTTGCTGAGATAACAGGCAAGTGCCATTCACTGTTGGGCCCAACTTAAAAGCTTTTTATGTCATTGGGAATGTATTTAAAAGGTATATCCTATCTTCGCTTCCTATGCCATAAAAGTCAATAATTAACAATTAGGAATTCTAACATTTACATGATATTTTATCTTGTTGACATAAGTGTTTTTTAAAAGTTTATATCCTCAGTGAAGTTGCACAAATATTCTAATTAGTACCCCAATGCACTTCACTGATTTACCAATTGTTAAAAAGTTATCCCATTTGGTTTCTTCTCTGATCAGTCTTTTTTCTCTCTCTCTTTGCATGTGCTCAGAGTTCTTAAAAATCATGAGCCCGAGGCAGACTGATCACATGACTTCGGTCCTTTAGGCTCCTATAAAGAACAAGGGCCTTCTCCAATATGTTCCCAACTCAACCATCCCACTCTGAGATCCTTCCATTTTAAAGATCATTGGAGTGGAGACACAGGTTTTGACAGCACGAAGATGCACCCAAGCCTCCATTTCCAGCCCACACAGCAGCAGGTGGGCAGCAGGTGGTGAGTTGGGGTGTCCAACCAATGTCAATCTGGGAGAGGGACCCAGAGCTCCAGCCACAAAGGAGAGGAAGGGAGGTCGACATCGGGGTTTGACTTGATGCCACTTCTTGGTTTGGGATAGACCCAATTTCTTCACTTCCTGTTATCGTTGCTATCGTTATGGTTTAGATATGAGGTGTCCCCACAGAGTTCCTCTGTTGCTGCAGGAATCCCCAGAGGTGACACGGCTGGGTCATGAGAGCTGAAGCTAATCGGTTCGCCCTGGTGTGACTAAACGGTGTGGTGGCTGTAGGCTGGCAGAGGCAGGTCACTGGACTGTGCCCCGGAAGGGTCATCATCCCTGCAGACCCTTCCCCCTGCTCTGCCTCCCAGCTGCCAGGGGGTGAGCAGCTTCCCTCTGCCACGCCCCTTGGCCATGACGAATGGACCCAGCTGACCACGCACTGGACTTCTGAAATTTATAAACTTGAAATAAACTTTTCCTGCTCTAAGTTGTCAGGTGTTTTGGTCACAGCAACAAAAAGCTAACAGTGGTTACCACATGTAACGGTGGGCACGTTCTCTCCGAAACCAGGACAGGTTTGAATCCCCCCTGGGCCCCTGAGGGCTGAGCCACCTTGAGCATGTGATGGAGCCCAGCGCCTGTTCCCACACTGAAGGGGACAAAGCCCAGGGCCCCCGTACCTGTTGTACATCTTCAGCAGGATCAGAACCACGGTGAAGATGACGATGACAACCACCACAATGGCGGCCACGATGGCTCCAGAACCTGCAGGGGGAGAGGAGCCAAGGGGGCCACTGGCGCTCAGTCAGACGAGCGGAGGGGGAGGCGCCCTCTGCGCCAGGGAAGGGGGCCCTGTTGGTGGGGAGGTGTGTGGCCACTCTCCATGTGGCCCTGCCCTGGGATCAACAGGGAGGGACCCGGACATCCCCCTCTCGCCTCCTTGCCTAGGACACCAATTTATATTTGAATTTAATGTAAACAAAGATAATATTTTAGTGTAGGTCTTTGCCAGGCAAAATTGGAGACTTACTTATACCAAATATTTGCTTATTATTTGTCCAAAGGTCTCATTTAAATGGGAATTCCAAAGTTTATCCAGCAACCCTACCACCAAAGGTCAGTTGGCAATGTTGGGCAGCTGTCACAACTTGGGAGCAGGGGACAGACGAAGGAATTGTGACTAGCACCTAGAGGGTGGAGGTCAGGAATAATGAGAACCATCTTACGAAGCACAAGACAGCTCCCCACAGCAGAGACTATCCAGCAGAGGTTGAAAACCTTAATGAAAGTCTCCACACGAGACTCCACAGGGAGGGGAGGGCCACGTTGCCCTGTGGTGGGTGGCTGCCCTGCTCCTCCTCAGTCCCCTTCTGCTCTTTCTTCCTATGAATATTTGTACATGGTTTTCGCTTTGTTTTGACTTTAGTAAACCTTTTGGAAAAGCATGATGTACATTCACAAAAGTACAAATCATAAGCTGGGGGAATTTTCAGAGTACACACACGTGTGTAAAGAGCCACCCTGTCAAGACAGACCAGGATCCTGGGAGGCCTGGCGGATAGATTTTTCGGATATAGGATTACCAAGTTATTTTTAAAAATTAATGGAGATTTAATATGCACATACATGGTCTCATTGGTAATGTAGACACAGGGAGATGACCCGTGGTTCTTAGGTCAATGAGTTCTTTTTCCTCCTCCATTTTAGCTTGTATTTATAATTTCAAAATTATCTACAAAAAAATCACATTACTTTTGTATTATTGAAACAAGGAGAGGGTGTTTTGCTGTCCGTATCACAGGAAATGTTTGAAGCTGTGCTGGGGCTTCTAAGAATACACTAAGGGGCTGGGGTTGTGGCTTAGAGTGTCAGAGCGCTTGCCTAGCATGTGTGAGGCGCTGGGTTCGATCCTCAGCACCACATAAAAATAAACAATAAAGGTATTGTGTCCACCTGCAACTAAAATATATATATTAACAACAACAACAACAAAAGAATAGACTTGGCTTTGGCAGAGTTTGGAGAAGAGACAGTGACGTTCTGGATCACTCCTTGGTGACCCCAGGGCAGAGTCATATTGCGAGTGGCCATTCCCCAATCCCCCCAGCCCCAACAGGGCTTGAAGGACCACATCCTTTTAGTTAAGAAAAAACAGGAGCATGCCCGTCTGACCTAGTGTCACTCTCTCTACTTCCCCTAGGGATTGTAGAGAGGGCTCGGCAGGCCTGCCCACCCAGCAAGTAGCAGGATAACTTGGGGGACCCCACCCTGAGAGCGACTCCTTCTGGGTCTCCAAGGAAGAGACGCAGCCTGTCATTCATCCAGCCGCTTGCAGGTACCACAGCCTGAAGCTGTCATTGGGGAAAACTGTACTTTTGTGTGGGGAAGGTTGTCCCTTAGGTGGAGGTGTGAACAGTTATACACACAGCCAACTGAGGTGGCTGAGAGGGTCCCCTGCTTCTCCTTATATAATCAGTTGGTTTTCTGAAAGAGCTATCTTCAAATTTTTCATTCTGGGGACCCCTTGTTCCTGGCAAGTATCTCCCCAGGTATGTCCTCCTCCATTAATTTACTCCCTTATGAGTTGATGGGATTTTTTGGTGGGGGTACCAGGGATTGTACTCAGGTTCATTCGATCACTGAGCCACATCCTAGCCCTATTTTGTAATTATTTAGAGACAAGGCCTCCTGAATTGCTTAGTGCCTTGCTTTTGCTGAGGCTGGCTTTGAACTTGCAATCCTCCTGTGTCAGCCTCCCAAGCTGTGGGGATTATAGGCGTATGCTATTGCACCAAAGGCTGTTCTAAACTTTTATGTGGATTATCTGTTTGAGTCCTTATGACACCCGTGTGTGGCAGCTTCATTAATATCCCCATCTTACTGATGAAACTAAGGCCCCAGTCAGAGGTTGTGTGCCCAGGTCACACAGCCAGCCAGGGGTAGGCAGGGACTGAGACCCGGCGCTCCATCTCCAGAGCCCATGCTCTGGACTTCTGCACCAGGAGCTGGCCTGGCACTGGCCACCCAGCCCTCCCCAGCCTTCATGCCAAGGTGGCCTTACTCTTGTACAGGAAGTCTTCTCCCCTGGTGGTCATGTTCAAGAAGAAGGTGGCATCTCCCAGAGTGGTGGCTGTGGTCATCTTGATCCTGGTGAGAACAAAGAAGAAATTTTGCTTAAAACCCGAATAAGCCATATTATTTCTTTTAGTCTTTATCTGGACGACTGTAGAATATTCCAGCATGCAGATTCTTTTTTGACAGCCAATGAACCCAGGGCACATCACTAGACACCCCCTGGGGGTGTTGAAAATGATACATAGGATTCCTAAAGAGTTTCATTCTTCCAAGAAGTTTCAATTCACTCAATGATGTTCATTCAACTCCTTCTGTGCTTCAAAATATCTAAATTGATCTTCTAGAAACCCTGTGAGGTAAATTATTGTTGCTATTTTATTGATGAAACTGAAGCCCTCATAGTTATATGGAGCCCAAATTTACCCAGTGGTATTGAACCTGGGGTGTCGACCTCCATTCCATCAGGCCTTTCTTCACCCCGCAATAAGGACTGAAATGGTGCTTTTGCATTTAGGTTTTTTTTTTTTTTTTGGTACCAGGTTTTGAACCCAGGGTTGCTTAACCATTGAGCCACATCCTCAAAGTCCCCCCCCCCACACACACTTTTTTTTTTTTTAAAGAGAGAGTGAGAGAGGAGAGAGAGAGAGAGAGAGAGGTAATTTTAATATTTATTTTTTAGTTATCGGCGGATACAACATCTTTGTTTGTATGTGGTGCTGAGGATCGAACCCGGGCCGCACGCATGCCAGGCGAGCGCGCTACCACTTGAGCCACATCCCCAGCCCACACACACACTTTTTTTAACTTTTTATTTTTGTGATAGTATTGTGTTGGGTTGCTTAGGGCAATTAACTTGCTAAATTGCTGAAGCTGGCTTTGGACTTGAGATCCTCCTGCCTCAGCCTCTCAAGTCTCTGGATTATAGGCGTGTACCACCAGGCCTGACAGAAGTTTTAATACCTAAGGAAGAATAAAAGAAGAGAGGAAGAAAGATGAAAACTTTAGCTCCGGTTAAGTTGTCAGTCATATAAACCATTGGCAGTGGAAAGCAATTTACTGGACAAGATGTATTTGAACAAGCCTTGAAGGCTGGCATAATTTGAGGACCAGAGGAGAAAGAACAAAGGTGAGAAAACCCTTAATGGGGAGAGAGATTGAATTTTGACCATCTGCCCTGCAAGAGTGTCTCTGTCTTCAGCACCTCTGAACACTCGCTTACCCTCTCCATCACTGGGAAGCGGCTGTCCTCCACGTTTGGCTATGGAGCAAGGGGAGGCTCAGAGTGGTAAAATGATTTTGCCAAAGTCACACAGCGAGGAAGAGACAGAACTCAGACTTAAACATACTCTTGGAGTGTACAATGTATATTGTTCCCCCCCCCTTGACACCACAATGAATCAAAATTCACAATACTAAACCGGGCGTGGTGTTTGTGCATGTAACCTTACCACTCAGGGGGCTGCGGCTGCAGGGTCACTTGAGTCCAGGAGGTTGAGATCAGCCTGGACAACACAGAGAGGCCCTGTCTCAAAAATACGAACAAAGACTCATAATCCTGTCACACTGGAGGGGTGAATCCAGAGTGTGCAGTTAATTCAATGTAACGCCACCAGAAGAAGCAGGTGAGATTCTTGACCATGAATACAGAGCCCACAATGATAATTACAAATAATTGCCCTGAACTATAGGAATTTTTAAAAAGGGGAGGAAATAAACCAGGGTTCTTTTTTTTTTTTTTTTTTGACAGGGTCCTGCTACGTTTCCCAAGCTGACCTTGAACTCCTGGGCTGAACCCCTTCCTGCCTCAGCCTCCTGAGTGGCTGAAACTGCAGGCGTATATCACTGTGCCCAGGTACACATCAGTTTGGTGTTTGTTTGTTTGTTTTTTTGGTACTGGGGATTGAACTCAACCACTGAACCACATCCCCAGTCTTATTTTGTATTTTATTTAGAGACAGGGTCTCTTGAGTTGCTTAGCACCTTGCTTTTGCTGAGGCTGGCTTTGAACTTGCAATCCTCCTGCCTCAGCCTCCTGAGCCACTGAGATTACAGGTGTGTGCAGCTGCACCCGGCTACAAATCAGTTTTTTTGTTGTTGTTGTTTTATTTTTAAATATTTTTAGTTGTAGATGGACCCAATACCTTTATTTTATGTGTTTAGTTTTATGTGATGCTGAGGCTCAAACCCAGTGCTCACATGTGCCAGGCAAATGCTCTACCACTGAGCCACAACCCCAGCTCCCCCATCTCTTTTTAAAAATTTTTATTTTGAGACAGGCTGGTGCCCACCTGGAGCTCCTCCTGCCTGGGAGTACAGATATGTGCCTCCACGCTGAGCAGAAGTATTTTCTAAATTACAAAGATTAATATAATAGGATCCCATGTACTCGCCATTCAGATTTAACAAATATTTATAGTTCCCATTTTCTTCAGTTCTTTTCAGATTTCAACAAAATTGAGATGAAGTTGAAGTACCTTTTCTATCTCAATCTCATTTTCTCCTTTCCCCAAGAAGCTGTGACCTTGACCATTAGGGATATTCCCATCAAAAAAGCATAGTGTTTTCCACCTACGTATCTATCCTTCACCATTCTGCACAGCGGGGCTCTGCACACTTACTAGATGAAGGTCAAGCACAGAAGCCACCATCTGAGCACCTCCACCTGCCGCTATGCCAGGAGCTGGGGAGACGCTAGTGAAATCCACTCCTTGCCTTGGGAAATTCAATCCTGGGCTGGGTGGGGAAGAGAGTGTCTGTTGGGTTTGCTTGGATCACTCTGGGCCTCAAGAAAAGACCTTCTGTGGGGGGGGTAGGCTGTGGCTGTGGCTCAGCAGCAGAGCGCTTCCCTAGCACGCGTGAGGCCCTGGATTCGATCCTCAGCACCACATAGAAATAAATAAATAAAATAAAGGCATTGTGTCCAACTACAACTAAAAAATAAATATTAAAAAAAAAAAAAAGGAAAGACCTTCCCACCTGCGCATGCACCTACACCTGGCACAGAAAGCACTTCTGGGCTTCCCATCCTATTTCCAGCTTCTTGGCTCTGACACCAGGCTCTGCTGAAGGGCTGTGACGGTGGACATGCCATCAGTCACTGTGACAATGGACCACGCCATCTCCCTGGCATGGCTGGGCTGCTGTCCGGGGCTGGGCACCTCCGGCTCCCCCCCATGCCCCACAGTGGGCCTCCCTGAGAATCCCGGCCACTGGGCGCCAGCTCCCCACTCTCCCAGCTCTGATGGAAACAGGGGTCAGCCTTCTACTGCCCACATCCACTGGGTCAGGCCATTTGCTCCCAGCCTGGGGACTCTGGTGACTGTGGCCTGCCCTGGGGGCCTGGCAGCTTCACAATGGCCCCCTGCTGCCAGGCCCCCCAGATCCACAGGAAGGGTTCTGCCTTCACCTGCAAGTCCAGTCTGTCTGTCTGTCCCTCTCCTCGAGGACCTAATCCTCAGATGCCCACCAGGAAACCCCGAGGGGCTCTGCCTGGGCCCCACACCCACCAACCTGTCTTCCCACCTGGCCTTCTGGTCTCCCAGTGCCTTAAACAGGCCCAGCCGGCCATGCCCCGGGGCCAGCGCCCTGGGAGGACGCCCACCCCCAGAGCTGAGCAGCCCTGTCCTCTCCTCCCACAGCCGCGCTGCTCTGCGAGAACCACCTCCAAGCCTGTGTCGCAGTCGCTCGTCTTGCAGCTCCGAGCATCGCAGTGGACATTAGTAAATATCTGCTGAGCTAATTAAGATGGGGATCTGGAGCCCACCTCAGGGAGAGACCCGCTTTCACGGACAGCCGTGCACCCCAGCGGGCAAAGGGTGTTAGCGCGCATGCGCTAAACCTTCTGCTTCTACCCTCCACAGCATCAAGCAGAGAAGACTCGCCATTGATGCTTTCTTACAATTCCTTCCAAAAACAGAAATGCAAACTGGTGTCCCCTGATCAAGGGTCACTCTGGGAGAGAGACGTGGCACAATCACTGGATAACCCAAACTGTGCCTGCGGAAACATCCACGGGAAAACCAACACGCCACAAAGGACAGAGGCCACCACCTGAGCACCTGCCACAGCCAAGACCTTGTGCCAGGTGTTTCTTATCCATGCAGTAATTGTGAAAGCTGGGGATGGAGCCGCAGGCATCTACCACCAAGCTACACCCCCGGCCCTTTTAATTGTTTTTTGAGATAGGGTCTCTCTAAGCTGTCCAGTCTGGCCATGGACTTGTGATCCTCCTGCCTCAGCATCTGGAGTTGCTGGAATTACAGGTGTGTACTACCACCCCTGGCCTTTCCCCTTGTTTCAGCTGAGGACCCCAAGACCCAGGGCTATAAAGCTTACTCTCCATGCTTATATAGTTTGGAAGCTGCAGAGCTGGGGTATGAACCTGGCCTTGCAAAGCCTGGGTCCCCCCACCACCCTGCCCCTGATATGCACACAGCGGGGTCCATTAGTAGTCACTGAGTACACACACACACACACACACACACACACTGACCCGCAATGCAGCCTCCTAGGCCACAGGACAGAGACTCCTTTGCAGGTCCTTTAGGGGCGACCTCCTGGGCACCGACTTCCAGGTGCAGACTCTCTCTCGAATGGGCCCAGTTCCTCCTCTTTCTGGGAGAACAGTGAGCAATCCCCGAGCAGATCTTGCCTCATCTCGGGACCGAAGGCTCTCAATTACATCTCTGTTCCTGCCACATCAGAGAAGGTGGGAGGGGGGTGGTGGAACATCCATGGCCAAGGACGTGGGTGTTTTCATGTGTGGGACCTCAGCGACTGTTGCCAACCAAGTGAAGTCCAGCAGGGGAATTTTAGAATCAAGTGTGGCTGAGATCAGGGTCCATGGTCACAGAAAACAGGGAGGGGGAGGCCGTTTTCACTGACAGAGGCTAAGTTAATGATAATAATGTATTTATTATGCGACAGGTGCTACACTTTACATGCAAACTCTCATTTAATGCTCAAACCTATCCAGTAACGAGGGCACAATCATTGTGTTCCTGCTACAGATGGGGGCACTGAGGCTCAGTGCAGAGAAGATACCCCCCTAAGTCCACAAGGCTAATA